ACTTTCTGTAGGTAATTCGATGTATTCTTATGCTAACAACCACCTGTCAGGCTTTCCCAAGGCTCCCTCCCTGCGGAGGAGGGTCTGCCACCTGGTAATTCATTCAGCTCTGCTTTCCAGAGCACTAATAGGAGCCCATCGAGAGTTCCTTAAGTTCCCCCGTAGCCACCACCCACATCAAAAACAAAGTCCTTCCTCCTCAAAGAGAGATGCTTCTGTTTGTGTTTTGTTAAGTGTGGTACGGGTGTGCATGACCCGAAGAGGCCAAGATGGGACGCGTCATTCCTGAGCGTTCTGCACAGGTTGGGATGGCCCTTGGACTAGATGTCACCTGAAGTGCCCATGCTTTTGTGGAGGCAGTCCATGCCTCTAGCCGTGACTACAGGACATCTGTTCACTTGGTCATTAACTTTCATTGTTGGGATTTCTAAGTGTTTATCCGGCACCATCCTAACTGCTGTGGGTATCACTGTGGATTTGGGGTCGGTGTGGGGGTGGCCTTAAGAATGTATGACTAAAGAACGAACACGCAGTGGCGGATGTGAAAATAGCCCTATAGAAACAGTAATGAGAATACAAACAAGAGGGTCGCTGGCTTTAATCTGTGTGGTGCAGGGATGAAATTGAAATGGCAGGAGTGGTGGACAAAGGAGAGGCATCTTGAAGGATGACTGTAGTCTTACCAAGAGCAGGCAGGGTGAGAAACCTGGACAGCGGGGGGAAGGCCAGGGGGCAGGAATGAGCACGCTCATGGGGGGCTGTGCTGGACTGGGGTCCACGAGGAGGAGGGGCATCGTCAGGCAGGTGGGATGGGCCAGATCTCCCCTGCCTCTGGGAGCCAAGTGGAAGACCACTGGACGCTTCACATGGGTGCTCCTCAAACAGGCCACTCATCCACACGGAGCATCTTCCTCATACTCAGTGATACACACGCAGTTGGGGCAAATCATTCTTTGCTTCACGTACTAAAGCAAACCTGGATGTATTTGGAATAGAACACCAAATTGGCATGACTGTAGTAATAAAGTAAATAAAGTAATAAAATTAATTAAAGAAATTTCAGCTTGTAGCAGATCGCTCCGATGACACCGTCTGAGCCTCGGGGTACTCTCCTCCATATGGCTTACTTTGATGGGATAGTTTGAGAATTTCCTTATTTGGCAGGAAATGAAACCTTATTGCCCAAAGCTGGGCCCTGTGCCTGGAGCTCCTTTTTGGCCCCTCGAGTATCTCCTGGTCCTGCTCCAGGAGCTGACCTGACATCCTGCGGTAGAGGGGCAAAGTGGTTATGTCTCATTCACACTGGCCCATGCTGAGGCATTGCTGCTCAGGATCAAGGGGTTGGACATTTCTGTGGTTCTTTGTAGGCTGACCTGCTATCATTCTCCCAACAGCCCTAGAAATGATTATTATTACTCTGGTATTCAAATGAGAAAATGATGTGTGGCACGTATTGACGTGTTTGATGGGTCCCTTCAAGAAGACTTCTACATTAGGACATGGATCCTGGAAGTCCAACAGGTGGACTCATGTCTGCAGACCTCTCTTCTAGAAGGTACTTCATGCCACATGCGATCTGCCAGCCTCACAGAAGGCACACTGACCTTCTAAATTCAGTTCTCAACTCCTGTCAATGGGTGCATTGCTTGACAACATTTAATGACAGCTTTCAGCTCCATATTTCTTACGAAGAGTGTAACTGAAGCAAAACAGAATTTAGGTTGGCAATTAAGTCTTGCAAATCTTTGTCTGCCTCTGTCTTTTTCACTCTTTGTTTCAGGTTATTTCCAACTCTGGCTCACTAATAAATATAATCATGATTTGAACCAACAAAATTGCTTGCTTTTATATAGTAGGTATTTTAAGTAATAAAATATCCCTTGTACTGTCTTTAAACCTCATGAAGCCCTGTCTATTTTAATGCCAACTTTCTGAAGACTCATTAGTAATTAATGAAATCATTAAGGATGGTTCATGGTGACTGACACCTTCCTGGCAACCACAATCCCCTCTTGTACTGAGTCGAAATGTCACTGGCTCCCCAGGTTTGCTTTGGGGGGTGGAGTGGGTGGGTGGAGGGGAAGGAATTGGATGACGTAAAGTTTCACAACAGCCATCAGCTGGAACAGAAACTGTATGTTCCTCCAAGATTCTCTACTTAGGAAGCCATGCTGGGTGAAGTTTTCTGAAAAACCTCTCTTTTTAAGGTTTTAGGAAATCCTGCTAATATGTTTTCACTAACATGGCATTGTGTGGCTCAACTCAATTAGCAAAGATGTAGTGTTGAAATTTACCCTCGTTTTTCTTCCTGTTTTCACACATTTCCTTCTTTTTTGGCATAACTTAGATGTATTCTCCTCTTCTCCCTTTTAGGAACAGAATTTGGCATAAATAAATGATAACTGAGAAAATGATATAAACAGAAGTGTAAACGCAGTTTCTCCAGCTTCCCACGGTAGGTCAGGGTAATTTGTGGTAGCAAGTGGTTACCCGCAAGAAAGATGGTACTTCCAGGGGCTACTATTTAATTTATGTTTTAATAAAGAAACCCACATTCTTCCCTTAATTACTCAAGATGGAATGGGAACTCCCCCAAAGCCTTTCAGACCACTAATCCACTGAACATGTTAAAACAGACTACTTTGCCAGGGTATTGCCCACAGAAGGGAATTCGGTACATTTCATACCCCAGTGAATGTAAATTGTATGGAGCTAATATTTAATATGCATTCTCTAACTCTCAGAATTAAGCAGTTGATCTATGGGACACAAAGAGATCATCCTTCTCTCAAAGAGAATATTTTATGACCAGGCAGTTTAATAGGCAGACATAAACAACTGTTTGCGGCTCTCTCTCATCTTCAAAAGAAAAGAAGCACACGTAAGGGCATGCTGTTTGAGACAAAGCATTTTAGAAAATCACTTGGAGTGGTTTCCTTTTCCTTCGGGACAGCTGAACCTTTGAGAGGTGCTGACAAGAGTCCTTATAATTTAGTTTGTTTCTCCTATTATTTTGGGGGAGCACAGAGGTACTGTAAAGTAATGGACTTTCAACAAAGTTGAAATCCGCAAACTGGGAATCTCACTGCTTAAGTCATAAAAGTGTTATTTAAGGTTTTTACACCATGACTGACTATGCCAGATTTTCTGGGACAGTGTCAGTTTTAAATGAAGAGCTTAAAAGTTTAATTTCATCCCTGTACCTTTGTAAGAATCTCACCTAGACAAATGAGTGGAATAGAAAACAAACATTTTGCTACACCCTTTCTCCTCACTTCCTAGTTCAGGGTGACTCTGCCTTTGGCTATGCTGATGTTCAGAAAGCCCTTAGGAAAATGGCTTAATTTTTTGAGATACATGCCTCACAAATAAAAGGTGCAGCCCACATTTTCTCAATTTCTTAAAGTGCTTGAGGGACAAAGAAGGCATTGAGTGAAGAGCTGCCTCATTTTCCAGGGAGAACAGAGGCACTGAGAGCTTGAAGGGACTTTCTAGCTACAGCACTTAGCCTGTTCAAGTCCTGAATTTTTACTTCCTGGCTCCAGGAGGGCCCCCTCTGGACCCTGCCTAGATGGATGAGTGATCACAGCAGAGTGATGACATCATGGGGCTCACAGCCCTGCACACTTTATGTTTTGAACTGGGTTTTATCCGTCAGCCCACCTATTGAATGCTATGTGCTGTAGGTAGAGTTATAAAGATGTTCATGATGTCTACTTTGTCCCTGCAGAGCTCGCAGTGTATTTAGGGAAGCCAGGCAGGTACACATGAGGCAGAAGCTCCCTAGACAAGGCAGGAAGAACATGCCTTTTGCTTCCGAGGATGCAGACTGTGATAAGGATTACACTTGTTCAAGGCCATGGGGGAGGAACTCTATCCCCTGGACTCAAATTGTGCCAATCCCAGCAGGAGAAGGGTGAAAGTTTAGTTTCCAATGAATCTGAAATGATATTCTAAGAGCTTCCTTTAAAAGATCCTTTTAAAATTCTTTTCTTCCTCTTAAAAATTCAGCTACCAAATAATGTCTTTTCCATATGGTGGAAAAATACATTAAAGGGAAAAAAAAGCCCCAAATTTGTGCTTTATGATTCCTTGTTGAACAGGGAAAAGCATTTAAGCTGTTCCCAGCCCTCGATGAGTTCTCTCACCTGTCTTTCCTTACTTTGGCTGATGACGGAGTCTACCCAGTTACTTAAAGCCAGGTCAGAACATGCCGAAGTGGGGGTCGGAGCAGAATTCCTAGCTCTGGAATGCCTGTCTCTCTGGGCTCCCATGTGAGGACTTCCTGACTTTTGTTGACTTTAAGAACAGCTCTTCTGAGACTCTGCATAGGGTGGGAAGGAAACTGTCCTCAGGTTGGGGGCTTAGGTGGACCATGAGGGAAGGGACTGATGGATAGATTCCAGTGAAGGTGCATAAAATGTCCCCCCAAATAATCTAAAATGACCTTCACATGCCCTCCAGGGTGGCCGTGGGGAAAAAATCACTTTATTCCCTCAGCCTTTACTTTCCTCTGCTTCCAGAGCCTGTCTGACAGAGGCAGAAACCCCACTGTTAGATTTCTCTCTGCCCTCAGGAACATTCACCAGTTGGGGGAAAAATAAGGCCAGAAAATTGTTGCTATGGGCTCTGTTTTGTGGAAGTTAAAATGCTGGAGCAAGAAGCTGATTGCTTGATAGCTCCATCTCTCTCCGTCTCTCTCACCCCCTCTTCTCCCGCCCCCTCTACCCCCTCCCACTTTTTCTACTCTCCCCTCCTCCCTCCACTGGCCTCCTAGGACCTGCCCCCACACGGGCCGGAGGAGAGCCTTACAGGTTGTCAATGAAACATGGAATTATTTCCTTTGATGGCTTAGATAATAGTAGGAGCCAGAGCAATGAGTGAGGTCGGCTCAAACCAATGCGGCCCTGCCCGGGAGCCGCGAGCCAATCGCAGGAGCAGGGGGCGGGGCGTCGGCGCCAGCAGATAATTGCTAAGTGCATCGCTAGCACAGTCGGTCCGAGCTGCTGAAAGGTCTGGTCGCAGCGACGGGAACGCGTAATCCTCAGCGTGCTCCAGCCCGGCAGCATCCTTCCACGGCTCGGCAGGGCAGCCAGCCTCTGGGCACCGGCCCCTCTGCTCCGCGGAAAAGGTACTCCTTCCTGCGTCCCGGGGGTGCCCCTGCGCTGCCATCCAGGGGCTTGCAGGTCAGCTGTGTGGAGGGATTGCAGAAGGAAAAGTTTAGGGGAGGAAATGTGACTAAGGTGGGACATCGCCGTCTTTTGTTGGGAGGAAAACAAGCTGACAATTAGGAAAACTTCTGCGCTGTCTGGAACTGGATTGTTTACTACTGTTCCAATTAGCTGCACTCAAGAATGTGGCAATAGGTCTGGTCTGTGTTTAGGGTGCCTGCAGGGTTGGGGTGCAGATTCAGTTGATTGGGCAAAGGGATTTGGACTCCTGATATACTGTTTCCCAGCCGACCCATCCCTGGAAGGCTGATTCTGAGAAACATGACTGACTGGTTGGGTGTTCGGCATAGGGTCTCCGCAGGGTTACAGTCCAGTGACTTGCCTTCCCCCAACTACTGTGACCTTCAACTTGAGCCCGCCCTCAAACTTCTGTCTCCTTCTCCCCTGCGCCTTGCCCACTTTGTCCCAGTTCACTTGGTGGAAGGAGGAATTTCCCGTGGTGTGGGTGACTGTCCTGTTTGACCGGATGGACATGGGCATGTCACACTACTTGGTGAGAAACCAATGAAACAGTTCTCAGAGGAAAAGAAATCACTTAATTGATTAGCTCCCGAAAACTCTGGAAGACTTTCCAGGCTTGCTGTGTTCTGAAATAAAGGGAATGGAGTGACACTGTATCCTGTATGAAGGTTACACCTGTATCAGAGAAGAGCTGTCCAGCCCTAAGCGCCCAGTGGCTCTGGCAGGTGGAGGCAGAAGGGGCAGGCTCCTGTGGGACTGGCTCGGTGCAGGGCGCAGGTCAGTCTGCGGCAGGGGAGTGGCGGGAGCCACCATCCACACGACCTCTGATGACTTCTCTTCAAGTAGAAAAGCTCGCTGTGGCAGGAAGCTCGCTCAGCCTCGGAGCACCCCTGTGCATTCTCAGCTGTGGGACCGCAGGGGCCTCGCTTGCTCTGAGCCCCACTTTTGGTCCTGGGAAAACTCATTTTCCTGAGCTTCTGCCAGTGGGAGGCGTTAGGGAGATGGGCCTCCTAGGAAGCAGGGGCCCCACAGGGGAAAAGGTGATGTGCTGGTCTTGAGCTTCCTTCCTGCTTTGGCGCAGGCAGTGCCTACGTGAAGGCCCGCCGGCACCTCACCAGGTATGCCCTTTGCTGCCCTAGACCCTCCAAGGCTGCCCATCCAGGGCTGATCTGACAAGCCCCTGAGGCTCTGGGGGAGTTCAGAGGAATGTCCACGCCCTGGTTTCCACCCTAGACCTGAAAGCTGGGGCCTGGGAGTCGCCATCCTGGTGGGAAGTGAATGTCCCCTGCGGGATCTTCCAGCCACATCTCCTCTCGTCCCCGTGACACCCTCGCCTCTGTGCGCTGCAAATCACTTTCACTTTTTAATTCTTATTTTCTTTAACCACCACAACAGGTTTTCCTCCACCTCCTTTACGCAGCTATTTTGGGTGGGAGCTGTTATGAAGCTCTACTCACAATAGTTAGAAAAAAACCCCAGCTGCCTGACTTTTTTTTTTTTTTTTCTCTTTGGTCAGGATACAGTCAGTTTTTCTCTTCTGCACATGTTGTCTGACGGTAAACACAACAAACTTGCAGCCCCACGAATGATAACTGCCTTTGTGTGTGGGACCCTGGAGAGGCTGCTGAGCTTCTATGGGCTGCAGGGCATAACTGACCAAAACCCGTCTCCTCTGTGGTCTGTCTTGGGCCCGTGAGCCCCAGAGAGCCCAGAAGAGGCGACACCCAGCAGGTGGGGCATTTTGAAAGGGGACACCATGGTTTTCCTGCAGGTAGTAGTAAAACTAGAAAACGCTTTGGAGCCTAGGGGTGCCTCGAACCCGGAACAGGTGGCAAACATGGGGGTCTCTCTGTCGATGCTGACGTGCTGGATTTCTATCATGCTCCAGGACATTCAAAGTAAGGCTTTTAAGCCAGCTCCTGAATGGTGACTCATGCAGAGAGGAGAAAGGCAGGGTGGGGGAGGGGGCGGAGGGAGTGTGGCGAGGACAAGTGGGACACGGTGGAGCACTGGCTGTGCCTCCCGCCCCCTCCTCATTCCTCTTCCTTCTCGTTCCCCATTTGGAACAAAGATCATTAAAATAACAACTTTAGACTAAGAAAAGCATAGTAGGAGCTGAAGAATAACTGACGAACTGCAAAACACAAAACACTGTCACTGCAACTTCACCTTGGATGGGGGATGTGACCCAAGGTCCAGCCCCTCCTCTGGGATCCGGTTTGGGGAATTTCATGGCTGGTGTGAGGCTGACTTGTCCCTTGGAAAGCCAGGTGTCTGCCTGTGCGTGCAAGGGCTGATTGGAGCTCAGGAAATTAAATATGTTACTTGTCATTTCATCAAACCTGGTAGATTTAGCCAGGACCCTGGATAAGCACCACGCAAGGGTCTAGCATTTTCTCCCTTGGCCAAGTAGGATTTCTCTCATTTAACCACTGTGCTATGAAGGGGCTGCCTCTTTCTGCTTTCACAAGCCCCCAGTGATTTACCTGGCAAGTCAAAGTCCCTTATTTTTATAGTCCTCTTTCCTGTTATCGCTTCTCATCATAAACATATCAGCAGTCTGCCAACCTGCTTTGATCCTGTCATTTTTATGCTGGTTTTGAAGTTAAAAAAACAATAACAAAACCCGTTCCTTGAAATGAGATTAAAAACATATTAATTTTTTTCTCAGAGAAGAGCCTTTTAGTCTTCTATGTTAAAATTTAATTTCGTGGTTTTGGGGAAATCAAATTAGCATGTTTATTGTGGTGTTCGGTGTTTTTGTAAAGGTGGTTGAGTTGCTTTTTTTGCCTTTGGTGGAGGTGTGACACACCCCATTTATCCTGGGGGTGTGTCTGGATGCTTTAAATCATCTGCAGCATCCCGTGAGAGGTGCTGAGGTTGGAGCACCACGCTTCTGTTCATTCATGAAAGGGTGAAGGTTCCTTTGAAATCTAGGCTCTGAAATGTATTCACTACTCTGTTATTTTCCCCCTTTGTTGTTCACTTAGGAAAATTTCATGGCGAAAATTATTAGTAAACAGTTCTCCTGACTCACTTCTGCATGACTGACCTGCCCCTTGCCTTCCTCTGCATTGGGAGCTGTTCCACATTGGGGCAAGGACCTGAGCGATCTTACTGCATCTGATATATGCCTCTCTTCCTTCCCTCATGTTTCTTTCTTTCTGTCACTTAAGGGCACCCTAGAGGTTGAGCCTTAATTTTAGGCACTCTGCTCCTTTCACTTCTGAAACAGTTAATCAGGGGAGTCAGGGTGCATATGGGATTCAGCCCTGTGGGAGCCATGAGATAATCCTTTCCCCAAGCAGACCTCTCAAGAGCCCCTGGGGGTTCAGTTCCCCTGTGTGAGGCAGGAAGGGTAGATATTTATGAGCACAGGTCTATCAGATGGACGGGAATTCCCACCAGACATAGCCAGCCAGCTGCACTGTTCTGAGGCCCACTCACCTTCAGCCCCCATGCACAGGACTGACCTCCTGTTAGCCTGACAGTCCTGTTAGGACTGACAGAAATGTTAGCCAGCAGGGAAGTTTGCCTGTCATTCTCCTAGTTCCTTTGTTCTTTTCTCAGCCCTAAATCTCTTTGTCAAGAGATGCAAAGGTCCGAATCTACTTATTCATACTAAGGTGTGAACAGCTAACCATGTTGCCACTGACAGAGGTATTTGGTGTTCTTAACGGAAAGCAAAGCTGTTCATAATGGAGTTTCAGACATCACCTAGTGGGATGGAGAAGAGAGTCTGGATCAGGCAGTTGTGGTCCTTTGCATTTCAGTTTAGGCTGGTCCTGCTCTTACCACTTGAGGACATGCTGCAGTCACTCAGGGCATTGGGCTATCGATATTTGGGGTCTCGAGCCTGGAGCTTGATCCCTCAGATTTGACCTTGGGCACCGCACTAACTTGCCCTTTCTGACCTTGAGTTCTCTCCTATGTAAAGCCAGGGGCTTGGGCTACATTCTTATTGATCCCTTTCTGCTCTGACCTTCCCTCTGGATTTTGCCGCCAGAGTCCTGGATCCAGGTGGGGATGTCATGGCTCCAGAAGGGCTTGGAGCCTGCGGAGCAAGTTCTAGTGTGGGCCATGGCACTCGGTGATGCGTTCAGAGTTCCAGCCCATGGAGGCAGGTCGGAAGGAATGGTGGATGCTAAACCAGAAGAAAAACAGGCTGAGGGGTGATGTAATGACTGATTTTGGTTTAGGAGGGGATGTTATATGGAGGATGGCGACCAGCTGTTCTCTATCTCCAGTAAGGATTGAACGAGAGAAAATAGACAGAAATTGCAGCAGATGGACTTAGATTAGGTATGGGGAAGAATTTTCCATCAGTAAGAGTTGTTAAAACGGGAAGGTTGTGGAGCCACTGCGCTGATCTTTGGGAAGCGGGTGAGCAGAAGATTCAGCTGCAGGAGGAGGCAGCAGTGGGGCATCTGGTCCAGGATCCTGGCTCTTTCTTCCTGGGGAAGTTATTTTGTTTCCCTGAAACCCCACCTTTGCTCTTGGGCTCTCATAGAAGCTGAAAACTCAAGTCCCTCGAACTTGGGGGAAAGGAATGCAGCCCACTCGTGCTGTCCTCCAGGGGGCACCTTGCAGGGCAGGTCCTGTCTATTACTTGACAGTGTCTCACAAGCCCAATCTTTTGTTTCCAGACATGGCCAATGAGGCCCAGCGAGGTCACAGGCCTTGGCGTTGCCACACAGTGACCCGATGGCAGGGCTAGTGCTAGAATCGAGGTGCCTCCTCTCCCATGTCAGTGTGATCTGCGTTGTAGCTCATTTACCCCCTTGCTTCCAAATTGAAGAGACTGTGTTTCCTTTTCCTGGGCCCCTGATTTCTCTCTTACCCAGTGGCAGAGCCAGGAGCACCTGCAGCTGTGTGTGTTTGCCGAATGCCCATTCTAACACTCAAATGCACTCAACTCCACTTTCCTAACATGGACAGC